GAAGGCAAAAAAAAGCAGAAGAACTCATTTTGCACTGCTCAAGGAATGTACACAGTGAAACTTTCATTGCACCAAGTTTTCGACTGCCATCCACTTATAAAGGACTCCCCATTAACATTCTGTTCTCTCTTGCTCTGTTCACATCTTCCCCCCTCAACTCAACACTCTTGCTTATGTCCATTATCTTCCACTTACTTTTGATGGTTTTTCTCTCTCCCTTCTGAGGCTACTCCTTTCAAATCCTTCACTCCTTTCTTCCCTATTACCAGCTCTACCTGTCTGATACCCTCCCTGTTTCTATTGCTTCGAAGCCCATTCACTAGTAGTGTCTAGATATGTCAATTACCAACACGAGTCACCTGCAACTTTTTAGCCGATGATGATCTCTCTCGTGTGGGGAAACTGAAGAAAGCCAAATATTCCTTCGGCGACTACGCATCGTACGCAGATATGATGAAATATATGCGAACGATTGAATTCTACTACCCAAACATTACAAAAATCGTCCGCCTGGGTACCACACATGAAGGCAAACCAATCGAAGGCATGAAGGTGGGTTCTGCAACGATATTCAGGTGGTCAAGTCAATTAGTCGTGTACCATGCATCAGTCTCATCCCTTCAGATCGGTTATCCAATATCATCTACGGACAAGCGGGCGATCTGGATAGATGGCAACATCCATGCGAGAGAATGGGCAAGCAGTCATACTGCACTATATTTTATCAATCAGGTTCGCTATCCACTTTTCGCGTCAGGACCCATGAGTAAGTTGGTGTTGAGCGCTTTTGTCCCTTTAAAAGTTATCTGTTGAGCAGTATTGACCAAATCATTTGAGAATCCTCAAAAAGAGTGTCTCGAAAAGGCGGTGCCGATGTTATCATGCGATAGCCATTCAATATATTAAATATTAAATATAAATATTGAAGATTGATGTAAGCCCCGCCCATCAGATCTAACTATTCAGCTCGTCGCCGGTTACGGTAAGGATGAAATGATCACACACTATGTGAACAGCTTGAACTTCTATGTCCTACCGTGTTTGAATCCGGACGGTTACGAATACACCAGATCATCACCGAATCCCAGTGTAAGCGATACTTATTGATCCGAAACAGTGCCCGAACTCCAAAAAAAAAAGAATGATTTCAGGTTCGCCTGTGGCGTAAAAATCGCTCGCCAGAAAAGTGTAATCGCTCCGTGTGGGGTGGCGAGAAATGCTGCCAAGGCGTGGATCTAAATCGGAACTTCAAATTCCATTGGGCTGGTTGGTTTTGATTGCCTTTCTGCTAAGTCTGAAGGGAAAGATGTTCAGTCAACGATGGCGGACTGTTGGACGCGAACACAAATTGGCGTGACAATGCGCTGACGTTTTCGATCTTGTATTGAGTGTAAATCCAAACCTGAACCTTCTCTGACGCGACAAAGCCATTCGTGCCGTCCCCGAACAAGAAGCGTCTTTCCAGTAGTCCCCAGGGAAAGCAAGGCATTGACCCTAGTTGTGCCCGATGGGATTTCATTCCCTGATATACGTTCTAACCTCTTGAACATGCCATTGCCATTTTTCATTCAGAATCCGGCTCGTCGTTTGAACCATGCTCGAACATTTATCATGGCGACCACGTCTTTAGTGAACCGGAATCACGGTAAGTTCCACCCCTTATCGGACAACTTCCTACCAATCTGGACGAGTTTCAGTGCTGTACGTGACTATTTGAATTCGGACGAACTACGTGGGAAGGTAGACGGATTCATCACGCTTCATTCTTATGCACAGCTATGGATTTATCCATACAGTCATGCCCAACAAAACTATCCAGAGGATATAAGCGAATTGGTAAGCAGGTCATGGGGAACTCCG